TAACCTTATAGTTTAAACAAAGGATAAAAGCTAAAAAATAAAAACAATGAGGTTATATTTTAATCAAAATATATATATTTTGAAATTTGCAGAAAACTTGAAATTAAAATATATCCTAAAAATAGGTTAATCAAATTATTATCTATGAAATAGGAAATTTTAACATATTATATACAATTTAAATTTATTAGGAGTTGGAGATGGCACATTTTTACTGACTCCAGCTCTGACTCCAGTAACCCAAGAATTGCTTCCAACTTCATGACTCCGACTCCACAGCCCTGCTTGTAATCCCTTCCTCTTCAATCAATGGAAATACAAACATTAATTCCATTCTTGCTAATTATCTCAGCACTGAGATGAGCACTCCAAAGGGCAGGGGACTGGTTAGGAGGCAAACAAAAGCCAAAGGTGTGAAACTGATTAGTCTTGTCAGTTTCGAGCCAGCTATCCCAGGATGAGCATTCCAAAGGGCAGGGAGTGGGCAAAAGAAAAATACAGTTGCAGTCATGTGATTTCCCATTTAGCCAGCACTTCACTTAATGACAGAGCTGCCTGTCCCAATTGTGGTCTCTAAACGAGGACTACTGTACTATATTCCAGAATCCTAGATTAAGTTGACATAAAGTTTTTCTGTTTTCAAGGTGTATAACCAGCTATGGATTCACCTGTTCCAAGCGTTGCTGAAGTTCATGGAATACTGCTAGCTTTGCAAAAGAATTTGGAATGTCCAATCTGGTATGGAAAAAAAGCAATTTGAATATCAAGATTTCATTAAAAATGTATAATATCTAACATTCTATCCTTAGTTTAGCATCCTACTTTTTCTAAATTACTACAAAATCTAGATGAAAACATTGAAATTCAGTGTACTTTCCCCATTAAACTAGACAATATAAGAAAAAAATCTGAAATTGGAATAAAACCTTTTCATGCAAGAGTTTCTTATCTTACACACCAAATTTGTCCTTTAACTTTTTCATGACATTTTTCTGTGTTATATTTTTTTCTTTTTGTATGTAGCTCAATATTCATTGCAGTGGGGAAGGAAAAAAACCAGACATCTGAAAGAGCTTCAACTAATATAGTAAATTTATGTACTGTTCAACATGTGCAATTGTTTAAGTAATTTTGAAAAATGCTGTACAATACTTGGATACTAGTAGTGCAAATTAAAGAAAAATAGAATATGCGTCTACATGTTGACATATATACTTTATATATCTGGGAATATAAGGTGGGTATAACTGTATAGGATTGCTTCCTGCAGGGAGGGAAGTTTATGTGCTGCTTCACCATTTGTTCTGTACATCTTTTCAAGCCGTAAGAAGTACAGTGGCCATAAGAGAGATAAATGCTCATATGGCTACTCCAAGAAGCCATGCAATCCTCCAGTGTCGTTTTCCTTAACTTGGAATGATGATGTAGCCTAATACAGGAGTTTTCAAACTTTTTTAAGCAGTGTTACTTGTTAGTTAAAAAAATCCTAAAATAAAAAAAATCAAGAGGCAAAGATCTAGTTCTCATGGAACCCTAGGGTTCTGTGGAACACAGTTTGAAAAACCATGGTCTGATATGTCTGGATATCAGACGAACAAAATAGGAGAGGTTGTTCCAGAAATACAAATTATATACAACTTTTTTTCCATAGTGCCAAAGTTTGCCTAGAGTACAGTATGGCCAGAGAGTCTCAAGAAAGGTTAGAAAAGAGTAAGTTCATCTTCACTATATATAGCAGATGCAGGTATGAGAAAGGGGTACCTCAGGCCTTTACTGCTGGGAGGAAAATATGATTAAGAAGACGGATGATTTTTTAAAACTTTCTTCCTCTTCATTTCTGAGGGTATTGGAAGTATAAGCCAAGACGAACAGTACAATTAGTTATGTTTCCTGCCATAATTGAAGTTTGTTGGAGTACTACATAGACCATCATTTTTCTAGGGAAAAATAAGAGGTTTTGCATCCCAAATATTTATTCCGGGAGCTAGATATATGTTATGAACCTTTTGGGTTAATCTGCCTTTTATATAAATAACTAAAATAACTAAACTGACACAGTGTATAATAGTAGAGGTAGACCTCGCTTAGCGACTGCTTTGGGCAGCGATCGTTCAAAATTATGATGGTGATGAAAAAGTAACTTTACAACAATACCCGCATTTATGAGCTTTGCAGTGTCTCTCAGTCACATGTTCGCCATTACAGTCAGTCAGTTTGCGTTGTCCTGTGCCTGACCCATTTTTTTTTTCTTTTTCCCTCCTGGCAGAGAGGAGAGATTGCTTAAACAAGCAATCTCTTCCCGAGCTGCTTTTCTCCCCAAGCACAAAGGTCCCTAAAAGGTGCTAACCATAAATTAATAAGCTCAGCTCTGTGACCTTAATTAGCTGGCTTGTAGCTGCTGCTTGTAACTGACAAAACTTCTATCACTTTCACACTTTTGGCTTTTGTTTGCCTCCTAAGTGGCTCAGGGCTCAGAGCTGTGAGTGTGCTAGGCAAAAGCTGGCGCTAGCGCATTCCTTTCAATGCATATTCCTCATTGTGTCCCTGCTTACTCTCCTGTAATCCCTTCCTCTCCAATGAATGTAAATACAAACATTAATTCTCTTCTGCTAATTATCCCAATGCCAGGGTGAGCATTTCAAAGGATGGGGGAGTGGGAAAAAGGAAAGCTGAAGCAAAATTGTAAGTCATGTGATTTTTCACTTAGCGACTGCATCACTTAGTGACCTACTCGCCAGTCCCAATTGTGGCTTCTAAACAAGGGCTACCTGTATATACAAATGTTTAATATTTCCTGTTGCTGTAAAAAGTTGAAGTGAACTATTCTAAGTTAGCAATCACACATGCTGTTAAAATATGCTTGCGCTAATATAAAGTACCTGTTACTTTTTGGGGAAAAACATAATGCAATTATTTTTGCAGTGTAATATCAATAGTACTTTGAAGCTTCATTTATATTTTTTGGTCTTACAAAGTAGTAGCCTTTAGATGGAGCTGTGCAGCCATATTTTTGAACTGGGCTTTTTTTAGAATTCCATTGAGGCAAGGCTATTCTAGTATACAATACATTTGGCTTTCTGTCTCTCTCAATTAAATTGTTCTTTTTACTCCCATTAACTTTATTTTTTTATTATTTGGAAAGCTTTGGATGTCCACAGCACAGCTTAAAATAAAATAATAAATATATATGTATGCAATGGCAATAAAATGAATGATATGCTAAAAGTTAACCACAAAAAATATAGCTAGCAACTCATAAAATACATAAAATCAATCAGTGTCAGTGAAAATTGGAAAAAAAGGCAATCTTAACTGGTTGTTAAAGGATAGTAATGAAAGCCCCAGGCTTATGTCCTTAGGGAGGTATTTAATGGCTGAAGTGATACAGTTATTGATTGAGTACTAGCCCTTTTGAGGCTTTCATTAATTCAGCACAATTAGAGAAATAACATTTCTACCCTTCCCCAAAATCACTGATACTCCAACCTGGAGAGAATTTGAAATACAATGAGATACTATAATTGCATATTCATGTGAAAAACCTGTTTCCAAGTAGTCTTTGATGGAACAATACAACATTAACATTTAGTAGTCTATTTAATACAAATTAAATAACATGCTTATTGATATATGCAATAAACATTAATGTATTTAATAAGCAAGGCCCTTCATGAATTGTTACCTTGTAGGGTTGAAGGAGACTGTGTGTCCTACTGATGCTGAGAGCTATACCATTAGGAGTATATACTCCCAGAAGGGACTTCATGACAGGCAAATCATAGACAAAAGATCAAACTAACTACAATTCAATAGAGAAGAAAATGGCAAACCCACTCCAGTATTTGGTCAAGAAAATATAACAGGCACATCCAGGACAATGTCAACAGGGAAGAGGCCTCCAGGTCAGAAGGTATGCAACAAACTACTTGGGAAAAGCAGAGGGCTAGTACTAGTAGCAATGGTATTCACAATGTGCCTGAGTTAAAGCCAAAAGGATGTCCAACTGCTGAAAGTTCAGTGTACCATTAGTACACAGAATGTCAGTACAGTGGGGCAAAAAAGTATTTAGTCAGCCACCAATTGTGCAAGTTCTCCCACTTTGCTGAAAGTTCAGTGTACCATTAGTACACAGAATGTCAGTACAGTGGGGCAAAAAAGTATTTAGTCAGCCACCAATTGTGCAAGTTCTCCCACTTTGCTGAAAGTTCAGTGTACCATTAGTACACAGAATGTCAGTACAGTGGGGCAAAAAAGTATTTAGTCAGCCACCAATTGTGCAAGTTCTCCCACTTTGCTGAAAGTTCAGTGTACCATTAGTACACAGAATGTCAGTACAGTGGGGCAAAAAAGTATTTAGTCAGCCACCAATTGTGCAAGTTCTCCCACTTTGCTGAAAGTTCAGTGTACCATTAGTACACAGAATGTCAGTACAGTGGGGCAAAAAAGTATTTAGTCAGCCACCAATTGTGCAAGTTCTCCCACTTTGCTGAAAGTTCAGTGTACCATTAGTACACAGAATGTCAGTACAGTGGGGCAAAAAAGTATTTAGTCAGCCACCAATTGTGCAAGTTCTCCCACTTTGCTGAAAGTTCAGTGTACCATTAGTACACAGAATGTCAGTACAGTGGGGCAAAAAAGTATTTAGTCAGCCACCAATTGTGCAAGTTCTCCCACTTATGCCCTTGCTGATGGAAGGAGGTGTTCACTCAAAATCTCACGATACATGGCCCCATTCATTCTTTCCTTTACACGGATCAGTCGTCCTGGTCCCTTTGCAGAAAAACAGCCCCAAAGCATGATGTTTCCACCCCCATGCTTCACAGTAGGTATGGTGTTCTTTGGATGCAACTCAGCATTCTCTCTCCAGTGGGAGAACTTGCACAATTGGTGGCTGACTAAATACTTTTTTGCCCCACTGTACATGAACTAAAGCAAACTTGATGTTGTCAGAGCAGAAACGTCAAGACTGAACATTGACACTGAGTTTTAATGAACTGAAATGGATTGGAACAGATTGCTTCACATCAGAAGAACATCAGATCTTCTACTATGAACAAGAAATTCATATAGGAAATGGAGTGGCCATCATTAAACAAAGCATGTTGAAGTGCTTAGGTATAACCCTTAAATTATAATGTGATCTCAATTTGAATCAAAGATAAGAAATTAGAATTGGAATTGAAATTGCTGGGAAAAACATCAGCAACCTCAGATATGTTAACACTTTGATAGCTGGAAGATGTAAGGAATCTCTTATTGATTGTGTAAAAGGAGAATACAAAAGCCAAAAGACACTGCCAACCTAATTCAAACAGGTTGAGAAGAAGCGGAAATAATAACAGACTTTATATTCCTAAGCTCAGTTGGTGAGAGATAGTCCTTGCTAAATGACATCCATTGGGTCACAAAGAGCTGAAGCAACTGAACAACAAAATAAGTATTTAATAGCATTGGAACAGTAGAAACCATTTCCAATTTTGCTTTTATTCTAATAATGAAGAGCTCAGTAAAACCATTTTTAGTAAAAACATTATACTGGTGGTATCTTAAGAAATCAAGGTGAAGATGAATAGAGAAGATTTCACAGTTGAGAGTTAGAATGATTTTGGCATGCTTGTGTTTGTGTTGTGTTACAACATGCAAATTTGTAACAGTGCTTGAAAAGAAGCCAGAGGATTAGAGCCACAAGCAGCCGTATACTTCAGCTGATGAGGAAGAATGAAAACTCAGCAAATGAC